GCTCGTGGCGTGGCTTCTTCCCGCTCTTTCTCTCACAGCTTCCCCTCTTCTGTGGCTGTCGCTGTGGGTGCCTTTTCTCTTCAGGTGACCGGGACCGTCACCCACCCGGCGCTGGAGTTCCTGTGCATGTTGCAGGCTCGCGGCGTGCTCTCTTTGAACCGTTGCAAGTTTTTCATCACTTCGGGTCCGACCGAATGAAGTCGACTGCAGGGTTCTTAAGCGCAAACTGTCTCCCCTAAGAAGCCTGGAAACCGGAACTACGCGGAACCCCTCCTACCACCCAGCCGACCGACGACCGGGTATATAGTCACCTTTTGCTCGGCACAATCGCTCGTTTTTCCTGGTCTCTAAACGGAGCTCTTCGGACACGGTCCCTGGGCACCCGGCGCCGCCGGCCGCACGCAGGACAAAAAACGCAAAGAGCTCGAGGAAGCGCAGGAGCTCCGGCTCAATCTCCAAGGCTTCGGGCTCGGACTCCGGGAGGCCACCCAGGCCCAGGCCCAGGGCCCCACCCGGCGCGCTGCTCCCCCACACCGAGGCGACGAGGAGTTCTTCAAACTCTTCGCGCCGCTCTGCCGGGCCCTGCCAGAGCTCCCGAAACTTCCAGTGCTCTCCCTCTGGCTCGGCGAACACGGCAGCCGCTTCGGTTCCGGCCTCGGCGGCCCTTTCCGGAGCGCGCGGAGCGGAGAAGAAGAAACCCTCTCCTCCCTTCCGCTGGCAGGCGATGACGAGGCCCGGGACCTGGCCGCGGGCCTCGGCCAACAAACGGAGCTGGAGCGGCTGACGTTGGAGCTGTGGCAAAACTCCCTGGGCCGGGGGCCTCAGCTGCGCGCTCCGCGTTCCGCTTTTTGGATTTCCAGCTTGTTGGCAGCCGCCTCCCACTTGGGGGTTGGGCCTGCAGGCCGACCCCATCCATTGTATCCATTCTCGGTTCCCTCTCAGCTTCTTAGTATTTAGTAGAGATAGCCGTGGAGACGTAGAGGTGACCTTCTTGTTTGCTACTGCAAACTGCTGAACGCAGCCCACCATGAAGTCCCAAGCCCATCTCATCCTAAGCCTAGCCTGTTCCCGAACGGCCTCGACTCCCGTGAGGTGTTTCCGAGTCTTGGATTCACGCGGCGGCTTTCTTGAGATTTCCGATTCCGAAAACCCTCCTGCCCAAATGTCCGTTCTCGTCCCTTCGGGAAGGCCGCCAATTTCCTTCCCCTTCGCTGTGCCTCGCGACTTTTTCCAGCTGAAAGGGGCAGCTGGAAGCAGCACTTGAGCAGTCACGCCCCTGCGGGCACCGAGGCGATGAGGGCGCAAAGGCCGTGGCCTCCGCCCTCGCCCGGCTGACGGAGCTCAAGGAGCTCGGGTTGTACCTGGCTTGGAACAAGATCGGCCCGGGGCCTCGGAGGGCGCTCTGCTCCCCGCAGTTGCCTGGAACGGCGTGTCATTATGCCCTTAGCCGTAGCGACCCGGGGGGCGGAGCGTGGCAGCTTGGCAGCTCACGGTGCTCAAAGTTTGGCTGTCCAACAGCGCGCTCGGCCCGGGGCCTCGAGGTCTGTTAAGCGGCCTTATATGGCCTTGCCCCACAAACCAGGTTCAGGCGATCGAAGCCTTGGATCCCTGTTCTCAGTGAAGCCCATCCCCATGCCGAAGTTTGAAGAGACGGGTCTCTGCCCATGTCCGCTCCCGCTCCCTCTACCGCATGGGCTCTGCCTGCCTCCGGCCGAGGCGATGCTGGCGCCACCGCAGTCGTGGAGAGCCTTCGAGAGCTGCCGCAGCTCACGGAGGTCGGGGTTTATCTGGAGAAAAACGACCTTGGCCCGGGCCTCGGGGGCTTTGTCAAAGCATCTTGGACCTTGCCACACAAACCATGCCCCAGGCAATGAGGAGCAGAAGAAACTCCGGGCCACCTTCGATGCGCTGCCGGTGCGTCAGAAAGACATCAGGCTTTGATCCGAGGCCCGGCCGGGGCCCGGCCTGGTGGCTTCTGTGGGAGACTTCGGGGCTTGGACTCTTTCGGCTGCGAGGCCTCAGCCTCGGCGCGCTGGTGGTGGCCTTTGTCCCGAGCGCCTCGGATCTGGCGCCGAAAAAGGCAGAGGTCGCGCCGTGGTGGAGTCCGAGCATTCAAACTTGTCGCCGTAGCATTGCAGTCTTGCTTTGGTGTTGGCCTTGGGTCTTTGCTGGTTTGGGACCTTTAAGGAGTCTAGGGTCCGACGTTGACACACGGGTCAAGTCGCGAAATTCGGGTTTGAGGCACTCGGTGTCTTGCCCCGACCCCAATGTGTAGCGTCCGAAGCCGAAGAGCGGCTCCGCCGGAGCTGCGTCCTTCCATTTGTGATGGTCTTCTGCGGCTCAAGTGCTGTCACAAGGCATTTAAGACAGCCCTGTAAAGCTCAGAAACTCGATCATCTGAACGTCTGTGCCCTGGCCCTGAACCCACAAGCACCGAGCACGTTATCGACATGCGACTCCCCAAACTTCGTGCTGCTCGAACTCCAAATTGTGGGCGTAGTGCCTGATGCCATGTCCAAGCGAATTGAATCAAGAGGAGTTGGTGCAGAAATCCGGAAGTCAAATCGTGACATGCTGAAACAACAAGCCTCAACACAAAGCTATCATCGCGGGTGCCCTCTGGACATTGCAGTGTTCTTCCCAGCGTATGGGCTGCGGAGCCAGCAGTGAGAGCAAGCATGCCGGGCACTGTGGGGACAAGGTGTTCGGATTCATGAGTATTATAGGTATTAGGCACTTGAACCAAAACCCCTAAACCTCTATCTAACCCCTAACCTCTAAGCCCTAAACCCTAAACCTCTGAACCCTAACCCCTGAACCCCAAAGTGTCTTTCTGAAAGACTTTGCAGTCCTGTGGCAGGATCACAAGTCCCGAAGAAGCTTGGGGCTCTGATGTTTCGGGCTTGAGATGGGTTGAGCATCTGAGAGGTCCCTGGAAGCGCTGAACACTCATGTGATTCTTGTCTAGGGCCTATAGGGCCTGAGATTTTTTTGTGGGCATGTCACCGCTTCTTTGATGAGAGTTTCTGAGTGATTCGGATGCTAGAAGACCGTAGGCTGGATAGACTTTATACTACTGCAAGCCTGGAAGTCTGGAAGTCACAACACGTGGAGGCTCATCGATGTCCGATCCCGCAAAAAAAATCTTGCACAACCCCGGGGTTTCAGACACTTCTTGATCCCGGCTCCGACAGCTGCATTTTGCCTCGTTGGGAGGGCAATCCCAGGTAATTAAGAATCCTCGGCTTAACGCACTAGGCTTGGGTTGCCAGCACTTCAAGGCTAGGGCTGTTGACGCATTTTAGAGTTCCTCAAGTTACTTTGGAACAGCATACCCTGCGAACTCCTTAAACTTACAGTAGCCCTAATTCCTTGTAGTAGTCCCTGCGTTAACTCTTATACGAAACAGAAATCAGAAAGCAGCTTCCTGCACCCCACGCCTGCAGGTGGCTCCATGCCTGCCGTTGGAAGCGTTGCAGGCTCGAAGCATATTTTCTTGCCAGCAGGGCTTTATGGAGTTTTACAGGGCTACTAGAGCGGGTTTTTAAGGGTTTACACGGTTCTACTTGACCTACAAGGGTTGCATTGAGAATGAGGGTTTTGAAAGGCTTTGTTCTGAAGAAGTTTTATGAATGTTTTGTCGGATTCTACGAGCTTTGCGGCTTTGGGAGGTTTGAGGGTCGGGAACGAAGATTGAACTTTCAACAAGAATAGAACCCTCACTTGAGTATCAAAATGCTCATGAGGACCTGGGTTGAATATCGGGCCTATAGGGCAGGCATATTCTTCCCTAGGGTTCCCTAATACTGTGCCAGTATAGGTAGCTCTAGGATCTTTTGGTGTAAGTAGCTAGGGCTCTTTATGTTTCGAGTTTTTCAAGGGTGTTGGGGTCAGGCAGGTAGGATTTTCACACCAAGCCCTAAACGCTAAACCCTAAACCCTATACCCTAATTTAAGCTCCTGGTCTTCCTAGCTACTTGCAAAGATAGCAATGACACAGCTCATAAGAGGCTTGAAAGGAAGAGCCCGGTTTCAACTCCAGTTTTCTAAGAGCCCTAAGAGCCCTTATGATAACCCTCAGAAGAGACCTTAGAGGAAGAAGCCAGTCTCAACTCCACAGCCTCCCTCCGTTTCGCCCCGGGCAAGGCGTGAGCTTGATGGGCTTTGAGGGTGTCGGATTCCTCTGGCATCCTGGCACTCTCTGTAAGAGTTCAGGGGTTGAAGGCAGGAAAACAAGAAGCCTGAAGACTAACGGATGTTCTTGCTCTAAGGCCGATTTCTGGTGGCTTTGTTTTTTTGGTTTAGGGGCTTTGAGGAAGGATCTGAAGGGACGATCTTTTCTGGCATTTTTATGATGGTTCAGGGATGACGGACCCAATGTGGCCTGCGTCTTAGCTTTCCCGTTCATGGGACCTTTGGAAAACAGCAGCAACAAGCCCCTAAGCTAGACTCTTGTTGTAGAGCCCTCAAATGAGTTCTAAATCCTGAAGTCTTAAACACCCTCATACCAACGCAAAAAACTACAGACCCTAAGATACCCTACGCCCAAACGATTCTAGAGTCCTATACTTGAAGTCCCAGGTATGCCAAGCGCATCTCTCCCTGGGCTGCGCTTGGCTTCATCCTTGGCTTGGGAACCTTCGCCTTGCCGCAGGCGATCTTTGCATAGGCCCGGAGCGAGGGGTTTTAGGGTTTAGGGCTTAGGCTTTAGAACGAGGTTGTGGGGGTCTACTTTGGTCGAACCGTCGTAGAACTGTTTGGGGTTTACCCTTTTAGGGTAGGATTTTCGTAGAATGATTATAGGCTTCTCGGGGCTGTGAGGGGAGATGATTTAAAGACACAGAGGCATCTAGTCTAAAGGAAGCGTGTTTGGTAGGGTCCTCAAGCCTAAACCCTAAAACCCTAAACCCTAAAACCCTAAACCATCTAGTCTAAAGGTGGCTTCCTCTAAAGCGTTTTTGTAGAGTATTTTGGGGACTGCTGGGCCGATTTTAGGGTTCCGGTTTCCAGGGCGGGCTTCGGAGCCTTGAGGTTAGAGGGTACAGAGTCTCAGAGTAGGACTAAGGGGATTAGGGTTTAGGGTTCAGGGTTTGGGGTTTAGGGTTTAGGGTCTTGGGGCGATGTTTGAATAGTGCCGGGGATGAGGACGGCTGAGGTTGAGCGTGTTAGGTTCAGGAGTTAGACTTCGGGTTTCAGGTTCAGGGTGTTGGGTGTCGGGGTGGGTGGAGAATTCCGGCCTTTTTTCAGTTGAAGGTGCTGGAAGATTCTTGGGAGTGACGCGATTTTCTGGACTTCGTCCCCTTGCAGTGACAGCCCCTAAACCCTAAGCGAAAACCCTCATCCCTAAACCGTAAATCCTGTGGACGTAAACCCCATGGAGCCCTCATGAAGGCCCAACATAGGTAAAATATCCGTAGTATCATGCACCGGCCACATAGACAAGATTCGTTGTCATCCGAACCTTAGACTACAAAACAAGGGTTCATTGAGGGGTCCAGAAGGCTACTACAAGGCTTCAAGGTTTTGGGAAAGTTTAGGGTTAGGGTCGAGGGGGGGGGGGTGGCAAGCCCTTCAGCCGCAGAACACTAGACGATTTGAACCCGTAACTCCTTCAAGCAGCTCTTGGGTTCAGGGCTTAGGGCTGAAGTGTTATAAGTTTTATAGGGTTTAGGGCTTTCGTCAAGCCTGAAAACCCCGAAAAAGCCTGAAAGCCCAGAGCCCCCGAAAGCAGCAGAAAGCCTCAACCCAAAGGGCCCCAAGCACCCTAAACCCCTAAACCCTAAACCGCTATATCCTTAAACAAAACCTAAACCCTAAACCCCTAAAACCCCTAAATATCCCTAAACCCCTAAACCCCTATTCCAAACCCTAAACAACCCCTAAACAACCCCTAGAAAACCTCCTAGAAACCCCCTAAAGCCCGACACCAGTGTCCGCGATCTCCTCCCCGGCGCCGGTTTTCGGCGTCCAGCCTCCCGGGCCGGGAGCCGAGTTTGGGAGGCCCGAGGCGCCCCCCCCCCCCTTTTTCGTAGGGGGTTCCGACTCTGCGCCCACTCTTCTCTCTCTCTCTCTCTCTCTCTCTCTCTCTCTCTCTGTTTTTGAGGTGTAGTGAAGAATTTAAGGGTGAAGCTTGTCTCGGAAACCCCTTCGGGGTTGCAGGCATAGAGTTCGATGCATTGCCCTCGTTTTTGGCTGCGATTTTGTGATTGCATCTGAGTATGAGCAGCTGGTCGTGACCATCTCCTCCCAACGGATCCTATAGGTACCTGCGTAGTAGAAAGTTGGGATTTCTTGCGAGGAAGGATTTTGCGAGGGTTGAGCATAAGTATCACCCCATAGAGTAAACGCTTTTCACTACTCGGCTTTCCTGCAATCTCAGGGCCCGCATGCTATATTCTCGGGTGTGGGGCTACACATGTTAGATTCTGTTAGATCATATAGAAAAAGTTATGATATGTCTTGTTATTTTATGGTACACGATATTATATATTACCTCTATACACGTAATGGCAGTGTAATAACGTCGGGCTCTTCGTTCGTCAACTCGCTTGCTCTGGACATGTGAACAGTTTCACCATTTTTGTCTCAATCCATTACGTAAAGCGTTGTCCTAAACCGGACAATTCTCTTGTTGGTTTGTCATGACCAGCAGGACCAGCAGGAACCACTGGCATCGTGATCAGCATTAGTCAAGACTCTTGTTAACATATCTACTGCCGGTACCGGTGCCTTGACTTGACTGCGATGTCTCTACTTGGCGTTGCGACTGCTGTCAATAACAGAGTGTTGATCTCGTTGTTGTTGATACTGTAAGTACTGTCATTACCATTGTTCTTCGTGTTGCTCTTCCTGCTGCTATCCTTAAGGTGCATTGAAGAATGTCAAGTGAAGCTGTCTTGAGACCCCTTCGGGGTTCCAGTGCTTCAGGGTTGAGGGCAGATAGTTGCATGCATTGCCCTCGTTTTGGCTGCATCTGAGTATGAGTAGCTGGTCGTTACCATCGCAACGCATACGACCTAGACTGTGTAGTATAGAGATGTTTAAGAACAGGGAGCCCTAGACCTAAGTCTTCTGAGCTAATGGTAAAAAAGCCCCACCAACTTTGTAGGTTTAGGGTTTAGAGTCTCGGGTATCTTGTATGCAGCCGTCAACCCCGCAGGTGGCACAATGCATCTTTCTTGCTTATATTTTTTTTTGCTGCGTTCGTGCGTTGCCAGCGATGTCCCTTTGCTTTGCCTCTGAACTTTTGCAGCTGGAAGCAGCACTTGAGCAGTCACGGCCCGGGCGCTGAGGCGACGAGGGTGGGCAAGCCCTGGCCTCCGCGTTGCGGACCAGTTGGACCTGCCCAAGAACAAGATCGGCCCGGGGTCTCGGAGGGTGCTCTGTTCGGAATTGCATGCGACGGCGCATCATGCGCCTTTGGGTTGGGGGTCGTCCTCCGTCCTGGATGCTGTGCTGCTGTGCTCTTTCTTTTTAGTTCGAAGAACGGGGGGACGTGCCTGCAGTGATCCCATCTGTGCCACCTTATAGGGTCACGTTCATTATACCAGCCTTGCGGCCTAAAGGATGCCAATAAGAGCCACAGATACGCTGACGCTGTCCAGACAGTCTCCTTCCAACTTTGCGCCTTCTCACCGCTCGCATCTCGGGCTCGCCACACAAGAAGCCCAGGCGCGGGAAGAGGAGGAGAAGTTCCGGGTCGGCCTCCATGCGCTGCCGGTGCCGGCACACGAGAAAATAATCTGAGGCCCGGCCGGGGTTTTTCAGTGCGGTCCGACGTTGGTCGTTCTTCGACTCCTGGCTGGCAGGCCTCGGCCTCGGCGCGCTGCCGGTGGCCTTTCTCCTGAGCGCTTCTTGGGAAGTTTGCTGCCGGAGAAAGCAGAGGTCGCTGGTCGTTGCGCCTGCACCAGTGCTGCAGTCCGGACGTTGGAGTGCCGGGGTCAAGTCGAAGCCTTCGTGATTGAAGCACTCGGTGTTATGCACCGACTCCAGGGTGTAGCGTCCGAGCCAGAAGAGGGGCCCCACCCGAGGTGC